GTACTACAAGGTGGCCTTGAACTCCCTTATGTAGCCCAGGCTGGCCTTGAACTCATGGCAAGACTCCTGCATGTGCCTTCCAAGTGCTGGGATTTCAGGTGTGCACCACCATGCCCAGCCCTGTATAAATTTTTGAAAGTTTTTTCCTACAATGTGATATAGAATGCTATTTGTTTGAGAGCCTTTGCTATTACTGAAGGGACTTAATACATTTATTTTTCATTAAACCTATTGTATTGTGTAATTGTGTAGAAGTTGGGTAAAAGCAGTTTCCTTTATTTTTTACTGGTTTTATAATTTTTTTTGTGTTTATATACAAACATATTTTTTAAATGGAAGAGTTAGCCCCCATAGAACCAGATTATTAGAAGGGAATGTTCTTGCCCCTCACTAACTGGAAAGCTTTTTTTCTCTCTTAGAAGTGAGAAGAGTGGTGGAGGTTACATCGTTGTGGACCCTGTTTTACGAGTTGGCGCTGATAACCATGTGTTACCCTTGGACTGTGTTACTCTGCAGACATTTTTAGCTAAGTGTTTAGGACCTTTTGATGAATGGGAAAGCAGGCTTATGGTCGCAAAAGAGTCAGGTAATGTCAGCTTCCTTTATTCTTTAGAAATCAATGTAATTATCCTTTATAGCTTTCAAAAGTTGTGCTTTTACTTTTAATTCCATGTCTTAATGTATTTAGTAATATGGACAAAACCACATGAGTTTTTTTATTCTTGACCACTTTTAATCTACAAAAACAGCAGGTTACGTGGTTTCATAAGTAAAGAAATTCTGATAGAGTGACATTACTTTTAAGATTTTGGAGGGGCTGGGGAGATGGCTCAGTGGAATAAGCACTTCGCTGGCAAGCACAAGGGCCTGAGTTCAATCCCCGGTTCCTCAAAAAAAAAAAAAAAAAAAGATTTTGGAGAGCTGTGGAGATGGCTCACTAAGGGCTTGAGTTCAATCCCCGGTTCCACCAAAAAAAGATTTTATTTTCACATATGAAAATTACTAGTAAACTATTCACGAGTATACTGTTCATTTTCTGCTTTAAATTTGAGTATACCAAGAAGAAAGAAAAGTTCACTGACATAACTGAATTCTGTGAATACAAGTGCCATAGAATATTAAAAAGTAGGAAAAATACGTATATTGGTATACTTGCATGGGAAATATTTTCTTATATCCAACAAATAAAACTCAAATCTCTAGTGATAGCTAAGCATTTTTTGTAATTTTTTTCCAGTATGTTTTCTCATTATCCCTGTCTTGTAAATGAGATGACTGATCACAACTAAATCATTTAAGCAGTGTGTATAGCTGGAATTTGAACCCATGTCTTTGACACCTTTCCTAGTACCTTGATTACCTTCCTATTTATAATTACTTGAGAAAGTTAACCCTGTTATTTTGCTTAGTTTTAGGTTAGTTATGTTTTTTGTTGCTGTTGTTGTTTTTTTTTTTTTTTTACGGCAGTTGGGCTTTTTGCTTTGCAGGCTACAACATGATTCACTTCACCCCACTGCAGACACTTGGGCTCTCTAGGTCCTGCTACTCCCTTGCTGATCAGCTAGAACTAAACCCTGACTTCTCAAGACCTAATAGAATGTATACTTGGCATGATGTTGGACAGCTAGTGCAAAAATTGAAGGAAGAATGGAATATTCTTTGTATTACAGATGTTGTCTACAATCATACTGGTATGACATTCATTAATTTTGATGAAAATATTACGTTCTAATTGTTTTATCCACTGATATTTTATTCACTAATACTCATATATGCACATGCATTTACATTATACTTAGCTGCCTCCCTGTCCCATATATAAGATGCATTTTATCTTTTTTTTTATTCCCTTCCCTTCCCTTCCACCCCTCTTCTCTTATTTACAAAAGCCTCATTTCCATGTTTTTCCTTATATTCCCTTTTTTTCCTTGTCCCTCTTCTCTTTCTTCCTCTCCCTCCCTTGTTCCCCTTCTCATTTAAACATTTTGGTCCCATTTCCTAGTATTAGACATTTATTTATACTTTTTGTTTCTCACACCAGAGAAACAATGTGATATTTATTATGTACTTAGTGCAGCTTCTACAGGGTCTCACCTCATAGATCAGACTCAGTGATTCTCCTGTTTGCAGCCTCCCAAGCGCTGGGATCATAGACACATGCCACCACGCCTTGGCTCAGTCACGCCAGCACACCCTGGCAGCAGAGCCCCGCATGGCACACCAGAGATCGAACCCTGGCCACTGCACTCTGCCTTAGCAGGCACTTTAGTCCACTGAGCTATCTGGCCAGCCCACAATGTGTTATTTAAACATGTGTGTCCTATTTATTTTACTTAAGAGTATGGTCTCAAGAATTTTAAAGAAATAAGTGGTGGTTAAAGGTCCTTCAGTTTAAAAATTAATTTTATATAGTGTCACTTTTTGTCTTTTAGAGGAAACTGTATTAGTTGAAAATATAGTTGATATATAAGTACTTGTGATTCTTTTAAAAATAGAGGGCACATAGAAAGGACATAATAATCACATATTTCAATTTAGAGTATTAATACTTTCCATAATAAAATCTACATACCGGGAGCTCTAGTCCTGTAGCATATGTGAATAACTGAATGACTTATGGTAATTGTAGAGAAAATCATTGGTAAACTTTCCAAAGTTGTATACTTTATGTATTCAAAGAGTGTTCCCCCCCCCAAGTAGTTAGTCTGTTGTAGTTCCTAAGATAATCTTCATTAATAGAATCTTATAAAAATATAAAATTTTCCCAACTGATGATCCTCAAAGAATAATTTGTTCCTCTTACCCATCCCGGGCAGCTGACTTGGTCTAATGAAGTCTGTAGTGATGAGCTTAATCCAGTATATATTATAAATATTACCTTCTGTATGTGCCATAATGTAGAAAAGTGTGGACGCTATTAATTGGCAGATGTGAAGAATAGGAATTTTATTTTATTTTATTTTATTATTTTTAAATTTTTTTTCGCAGAACCAGGGATGAACTCAGGCCCTTGCGCTTGTCAGGCAAGCACTTACTCTACTGAGCTATCTCCCCAGCCCCAAGAACAGAAATTTTATTTATTTATTTTTTGCAGAACAGGGGATTGAACTCAGTCCCTTACGCTTGCCATGCAACTGCCTATTCTACTGAGCTGTCTCCCTGGCCCCAAGAACAGAAATTTTATTTATTTATTTATTTATTATGTGTGTGTGTGTGTGTGTGTGTGTGTGTGGCCACCTCAGCCCACCAGAGGGCACGGCTGGCTGGCATGTGGTGCTGGGGGATTGAACCGCGGTCCCTGTGCTTTGCTAAGCTTGTTCTAGGTAGGTGCTTTAGACCACTGAGCCATCTCACTAGCCCAAGAACAGAAATTTTAGATGGTGTAAAAATTTAAATGAAATCATTGTTTCATGTTTTCCAAGAAACCATAGAAAGTATGAAGATGTTTAAAGATTGATTTAGTTTATCAGTACAGACAATGTATCAGTCAATGCTTACTAGAAAACAGATTTAATGCATGATATACAAATATATATGAATTTACAAGATGGGCTTTCCGTGGCCACCCACAGAGTCAGGTGTGGAAGAGTGCAAAAGATCTTCTGTCCACTGAGATCTGAAGGATTGAGTCAAAGGCTGGAGCTCACTGTAGGTTCCACTGTGAGTCCGTATAAGGATGCCAAAAGACCTATGATGAAAAGCTGGAAACCAGGAAATGATGTCCAAGATGAAGACTAGAGCTCCTCCCCTGAAGAAACAGGCAAACTTTCCTCCGTATCCCTTATTCCATTCAGGTGATAAACATATTGGTTGATGCCACTCACACCAAGGATGGATCTTCTGTCTTGAGTAAACCCCTTCAGCCACACCCTGAACTATGCTGATGCAATTTATTTGGGCATTTCTTACTCAAATTGATCCAATCAGTTACTGTTTCAGGCAATAATGTCCAGTAATAATGGCACATCTGCAAGCCTCTGCAAATCAATGTCATCTGTAGTAAAAACTGTAACAGTATTTGTCAGTTGAAAAATTGACAGCATTGATAATTACATAAGCATCTATATTCACATTGAGTTTATCACCATAATGACATAGTGGTCGTGACAAACTGTAGAATTAGAATATAGGCCCCCGCGTGTGTGCGCCTAATCTCAGCTGGTCCGCCCGAGACCCCCTGAGCGCCAGCCCTAGTCCCCCGTGCTGCCCCATATCCGCTCCGACAAGATGAAAGAAACTATCATGAACCAGGAAAAACTCGCCAAACTGCAGGCACAAGTGCGCATTGGTGGGAAAGGAACTGCTCGCAGAAAGAAGAAGGTGGTTCATAGAACGGCCACAGCAGATG